CCCACAAAACCCCCCAAATCCAAGCCCCACAAGGCTCTGGGGGAGCAGCCTGTGCCATCCAGAGGAGCAGACCCACCCGCTCTGCCGGGCGATGGACTCCAGGCGATCGGTCATGGCAGGCAGAGACGACACTGAGGGAGGAACAAAACCAAACTTTAGGGGAAAGATCCAACATTCCCTAAGGAATTCCCACCAAAAATAAACCAAATCTCAGCTGGGTACTCCCTTCCATGCCTGTCCCCAAATACAGACATGAGGGTGTGCACAGAGAAACCCAAATATTCCCAAACTGCAAGGAGAAAATGGAATTTCTGCAAGTGGAATCCAGGTATGGGCACTCACAGAATGGTTTGGGTTGGGAGGGACCTCAAAGCCCATCCAGTGCCACCCCTACTATGAGCAGGACACTTCTCACCAGCCCAGGTTCTCCAAATCTGGATATTTTCAAGAAAGGAGCAGCCAGAGCTTCTCTGTGAGAGAATTTTATTTTCCCAATAAAAGCAGCACAGCCTGGCTTGCACTGAGCTGAGTGTGTGATGAACCCCTGAACACCAGGAACACAGCAGCAACACCCTGGGTGGTTTTTATGGAACATTTCCATGGGATTTTCCACCCTTTGGAGAACACACCAACCTTTCAGGGCCTTCTGCAGGGTCTCCAAGCAGCTCACCAGGTGCTGGTGTCCCCCTGAGTTCAGCACCACACGCTTTTCCTTGGGCGGACAGAAGAAAAAAAATATATCATTTTTCCTTGTTCCTCAATAGAAGGGAATTATGGCAACTTATGGGCAGCCCAGAGAGGTTTATTTAGTAATTAAAAGCAGATTAGATTTCATCCCCAAATTACAACATCGTGATTCCTCTAGGTGAGCAGTAGCTGTTTGCAAGCAGGTTACAAAGGCAGGCCTGGAATTGAGTTATTTTCTTTTTAGCAACTTTTTATAGGTCTGAGGTGAGAGTTTTAGAAAAAGACAGAAAAATAAGGAGTTGGGCAAAGTTTTAACTTTATGGGCAGGAGGCTTTGCTGAGATCTCTCCTGCTCCTCCTTCCCTCACCCACACCAGTATTTTAAACTCATTTTTGACTAAGCCAGGGCTGAGTGTCACGGAACAAAAACAATATTCAAAAAACAAGTCATTGCTCCAAAAAGCAATATCCTGGAAGGGTGAAAATACAAGTTTGAGCTTTTTCCTGGCACTGAGCTGGAATTAGGGAAAGGCACATCAGGCAGGGAGGGTTTGGACATGGCTCAGGAGAGAGTGAGACCAAAGCAAACCAAGGCAAACCAAGGCAAACCAAGGCAAACCAAAGCAAAAACAGCTGGAAGAGAGGTAAGAACCCACTGATCCTGCTCAGAGCCCAGCAATGCTCACCATGACCTGCCGCACCAACTTCATGGTTTCTGTCCAGGGCCGGTTCTGGCTGTACTTGGCGTGCAGCCTCTCCAGGAGGGAGCTCATCTTGTTCAGCTTCTCTGCCTCTGGCACACAGGAATGTTCAGGAAACACCAATGAGCCACTTTTGGAAGTTTAACAATTCAGAAAACATCCCACCTTTAAGCTGAAGAGGATTTCAAAGAATTTTCTTCCTGCAGGTTCCCAGACCTCGAGGTGAAGGGAAATGTTATGGAATATCCCAGGCTGAGGGAAATGTTATGGAATATCCCAGCCCANCAATACAAGCACACCAAACTCCCCAGTCCAAGTACACAAAACCCCACAATCCAACACAAACCCCGCAACCCAAAGCCCCCAATCCAACACACAAAACCCCACAATCCAAACTCACAAAATCCCCCAATCCAAGCACACAAAGCTCCAAAATCCAATACAAACCCCACAACACAAAACCCCCCAATACAAGCACACCAAACTCCCCAGTCCAAGTATACAAAACCCCACAATCCAAGCACACAAAACCCACCCAAAACTCACCCAAAAGCCCCCAATCCAAGCACAGCAAACCCACCCAAAATCCCACAATCCAAGCCCACTGAACTCCACAATCCATCACACAAAACCCCACAACACAAACCCCACAATCCAAGCACACTAACCCACCCAAACCTCCCCAATCCAAGCTCACGAAACCCCCCAATCCATCACACAAAAATCCCCAACCCAAGCACACCCAACTCCCCAATCCAAGTACACAAAACCCCACAATCCAAGCCCACCAAACTCCACAATCCATCACACAACACCCCACAACGCAAACTCCACAATCCAAGCTCAAAAAAGCCCCAATCCAACACAAACTCCCCAATGCAAGAGCACACAAAACCCCCCAATCCAAGCACACAAAATCCCCCAATCCAATCACACAAAGCTCCAAAATCCAATACAAAACCCACAACACAAAACACCCCAATCCAAGCACAGAAAATCCCCCAATCCAACACAAACCACACAATCCAAGCACACAAACCCACCCAAAAGCCCCCAATCCAAGCACACCAAACTCCCCAATCCACGCACACCAAACCCAGCCAAAACCCCACAATCCAAGCCCACTAAAAAACTCCACAATCCATCACACAACACCCCACAACACAAACCCCACAATCCAAGCTCACAAAATCCCCAATCCAACACACAAAACCCCGCAATCCAACACAAACCCCACAACACAAAGCCCCCAATCCAACACACAAAACCCCACAATCCAAGCACACAAAATCCCACAATCCAAGCACACAAAGCTCCAAAATCCAATACAAAACCCACAACACAAAACACCCCAATCCAAGCACAGAAAATCCCCCAATCCAACACAAACCCCAAAATCCAAGCACACAAACCCACCCGAACCTCCCCAATCCAAGCACACAAACCCCACAATCCAAACACACAAAACCCTCCAATCCAAGCACAAAAAATCACTCCAATTCAAGCACACAAAATCCCACAATCCAACACAAATCCCACAAAACAAACCCACCCCAAACCCCCCAATCCAAGCACACAAACCCCACAATCCAAGCACACAAAACCCCACAAATCCAAGCACACAAACCCCCAATCCAAGCACGCAAAATTCCCAATCCAAGCACGCAAAATTCCCAATCCAAGCACGCAAAATTCCCAATCCAAGCAC